AGCTCCTGCCGGCTGCACCCAGGAGCGTCCTGGGTGCAGTCTCTCCCAACATCTGTCAGGACTTCCACCGACCGAAAAACTTCCTAGCCTTCGGCTTTGCATGACCAACGGTTGCTTTCACCTTGCTCTTCTTTTCTTTGTGCTCTTTGATCTCGTTGAAGAGCTTTTCACTGCTTTGCAGCAACTCCTTCATGACGTGCCACCTCAACTCCTTCTCACAAACTGTCTCCCTCTTTCGGGGATCGAATGAGCTGAAGTCTTCGTTGGTCAAAGCATCTGCCAACACGTTGCCGTCCCTCCTCACCCAAGTGAGGGTTGCGAAAGCATCGCACCTTCGAAGAGTCTCTGCCACCTCAATCACTAAAATGGTGATTGGGTACTTCGTTGACAAGCCCTTCTGGAGGATAAATGAGTTGCCTCTATTGTCCGTGAAAGCTTCTACATGAACCTCGGCTGAATCTCCGGGGTTCCTCAACCACAACTTCAATGCAATGAGGGTCGCCAGCAGCTCTAACGCCGCTATCACCCTCTTTGGATTCTTACCTCTGTAATAAAGCCATGGTGCACTTGCTTCTGTAACCTGCAAAGAAAACCAGCGGCATTGTCTGCTATCCTTGCACTCCTCAAGCCAGCCTCCGATCCATGCTGCTTGCTCTGTCGCCTTTGCATCTGTCCAGATCCTCAGGGAAGTGCCCCCTGAAGAGGGGGGCCTCTTGACCATCTCCATGTGACCTCCTGCCTCGAGTCTCTGAGCGATCCAGTTCAAGATGAATTGTACTGACCACGGGATTGTCATTGCGCCCCTATTTGCCTGAATAGCTGAGGACCAGGCGTACAACGGGCCCAGCAGAGGTTTTTCCCATGGCAACGCCAAAGCAGAAAAGCCCAGTCTCCCTAGACCAGCGGAAAATTCTCGGCACGTGACCTCCTTTCTCCTATTCAGGGAATCAATCCATTGAACAACCCAGGCTGCTCTTCTTTCAGAAAGACCCATTGAGAAGGACCTGTAGTCTGTCGTGAGGCCAATCCACTCTGTCACTAAACCGCCCCTCTGCTTTGCCCATTTGAATGGTGCTCCAAGGGCAGCCATGAGTGAATAGGCCAAGACACCGCCAATCCGCCCCTGCCGCCCGATGGCCAACACTTCAAGGTCATCTGCATATAAAAGCATGTCATTCGGGAAGAGGTCCCCGAGGACCCAGTAGGTGAGCCTCAGCAACGCTGCACTCAGCCTCGCCCACCAGTATGGCGTCGAAGCTACTCCAAACGTGCCCACCCTGTTCACATAGACTGTGCTTGCATGGGTAGAAGCCTTGCACGCTAGGAAGCCTTGCTCCTCCTCCATATACTTGAAACGCCGGTGTGCCTTCGCGAAGTCGCCCACCAATGACAAGACTGCCACCCTTTCAGCCTCATACTCCTCCAGGAGGGCACGCTTCTCTCTAGGCCCTGGCATCCGGACTTTGTCCCTGCGCCGGATTCGATGGTTCACCATGACACCATGCGTGCCATCGTGGATGACCCTCTTCTTCCCGGTCACCTCATCCTCGACCAGGACCGCCAATGCTGCAACGGCACGATTCTCACCAAAAGTCTCGACAAACTCCCTCTCATCCATTCTCACCATCAACCCTTCAGCCACCTCCTGATCGAGATGTTCAATCAGGTACTTCTCGTGCTCCGCAGCTGAGGTATAGTTGTCCTTTTGCCAGACCGCACTGCTCCAGTCATCCCCTTCGAGGTTCCACTTTGACTGCTCCTCAAAGATCATCGGAGTTCTCGGGAGATCATTGAGGACTCCCAAGGGCAACCCGGTCTTCGCCTGCTCCAAGAACATCCAGTCGGGATCTCCTGCCTTCTCGAGGATTCCCTTCATGAGGTCCAGGAAAAATGGTTGCCCTGGTTCAGGACTTTTCTGCATTGGGAGGCCCAACTTTCCAGCCAGGACCTCCCTAATCTCCTCCAAGAAGCTTTCATCTCTGACCAGCTGAAAGGAATCTCCTCCTTTTGCCATGCGAAAGGCCTCTTTCTCAACTTCCACAATGCTCCCCAGCCGTCTGACTGCTGCCAACACAATGCGGTGCCTCAACAACACCCACTCTTTGCTATCCAGCCTCTTTCTATCATGCGATGACCACCTCCCCGGGGAAGCCAACCCTCCTCCGTCATGAAACGGTGCTTCTAGGCCCTTCCATCTGCAGGCCCTTGGAGGCCCGTGCCCCCCTGGAAACGGTGGGTTCATGGGGTCCACCTGCTCCTTTTCCTCCTTCAAAGGGGCAACCTTCGGGCACTTCTTTACCGGTTGATCCTTGCCCTCCTCCTCCACTGTTCTCTTCTTCGAGGATGAAGTAATTGCCTCACCCCCCCCTGCCACTCTTGCTCAAAGGAGGTGAGAATTGCTTCTGCTGTCCACTTGCACAATGCTGGTGGCCATGCTGCTGACTGGGCTGTACGAAAGACCCCACCCGACTTGCCGATCAGAGGGGCGCCCCCTGATTGTCGTGGTAGAGGCCCAATGTACCAACCTTGTTCATCAAACTGTGGGAGCCCTGAGTACATAGAAGGATGTAGGGGTGCAAAAATTCGCATCAAAAATCGTGTCGGCTTGGGCGACCTTGTACCAAACTCTGACTGAGCAAACACCACAGTCTGAACATCCTGTAGCTCCAACAACTGTTTGAATTGCCAGAATTGCCACATTGATGCAGGCTGCTGTCCTGGTACCCTCTCATAGTTGGTTTTGCCCAGGTCTTCTGGTTGCTCCATCAACCCAATACGACGTCCACATGCAAACTGACGCTTCAGTGCTTCAAAAGAAAAGTCAGCTAAGATTGTACCAAATTCTGCTTTGTGAAAACGCTCAGCCCTGTTCCATGGAAACCCTCTCGGGTATGCGGAACTCCTCAATGGGAAAGGCCCCAAATCATTCGCCCACACTGCTCTCGAAAAGGTAGAACAGGGTGGCGTCACTATCACGGCATAGTAGATGCCTTGAGCAATCGACTGTAGCCACTTCTTCTGTACAGATGGGATTGTGAAGTCTGACCTTCTATCAGACTGGATGTCCAACTCGGTGATCTCCACCTGAACACCCCTTCGTAGTGCAAGCCTTCGAAGGAACCATGCCACGGAGTTGCGGCGCTTCCTCCCTGAGAAAACGTAGAGGACCTTCAACAGCCCTCATTTGGTCCCGTCTGTATCGGGAGCCCCTGCTTCCTTCCTGTTCTTTGAGTTGCATTCGTAGAGGGGGTGTTTCTCGCTGAAACAAATCCCGCACACATGGCGGTATTTGCACTTTGCCACCTTGCACTTCTCTCCAGGCGTGTTGTACCTGAAACAAATCAAATCTCCTTCAGGTGTGTGTGTTGCACAATGTGAACCCCCTCCTCTGCCTTTGCCCTTCTTGCCTTTGCCCTTCTCCTTACCCTTGCTGCCCTTCTCCACTGCTGGCCACTTGTGAACCTGCTGTTCCCTCCATGGTGGCGTTGGCCTCTTTGCGTACAAAGCCAGGGGTGTCGTGAAGTTCCTCTCCTTCACGGTCGCATCCTTCCACGCCAGCTTGAGGGCAACTGTCAACGGCTTGCCCTCCGTGTTGGTGATCTTCACCGCCTGCTTCCTGATGGCCTTCTCATAGGCAATGATCAACTTCCAAGGTGGTGCAGCAAAAGTCTGACCCTCTGCATCTTTTGCACTAAGGCCGTACACGTAGTCGCCTAAGAGGTAATCCTTGTACTGTTCAACCGTCTCCTCCCACGTACCTTGTAGTTCATGCCTGTTTGAATGCTTCAATGATATCATGACCATTGCATTCTTCCAGATCGACAGCCTGCGACGGAGTTCTTCGGCGTTTGCCGGTTCCGGCACCTTCGTAGATGCTTTTCGCATGGCCAATCGGCCCTTGGAGTCCCAAATGGGCACGACCCCATCAGGCTCAATCTCCTCTTTCGACACGACTTCAGTCAGGTCTTCGGCCCGGTATTCGCCACCTTCAACCTCTGCCAACTTCTTCTCAACAAACTCTTTCGAGGGATATATTTTGTCCTCCAGGTGGCCGTACCTCTTCTCCAGGGCTGACCGCATCGCTGCCCATTCACCTGCCACTACCGGCCTGGCCCACTGCGAAGTATCGTACTCCGCGTCCACCTCTGCTGCTCTCTGGCTCCTGGTCTTCGCATTGCTGAAAGCACATGTAATTGCAGCAACCTGTACCCGCTCCTCCAACGACCTGTCTGAATCCAGCTCCCAATGCTCCTTGAGGACCGTTGCCAGGTCGTCCCTATCTTTCGCAAAGTTCGACAACTTCTCTAATGTGGTCACACCATGGTGGAAGAACAACTTCTGGTTGTCTACACTCACTTCATGCCTCGAAAACAGATACTTGATGTCAGTACCTGCCAACTCTAACGCCTTGTTGCCTTCAGCCTCCGAGATGACCGCACGCGGCATGTCAACGCCCGCCGAGGAGCGCCCCCTTGCCCCGCCTGCTTGGACCACATAGGTTACAGCATGCTATGCTGCTGTTGACACAGCGGTGTCTCCCCGTGCATGCTATGCACCCGACCGTTCACATGCGATGTGAACCTTACAATGCATGCTATGCATCAACCGCTCACATGCGATGTGATTCACAAGACTGTGATGCGCCCAGCCTCCACCTCCACTGGTGCCCGCTCTGCGCTTGCTGCGCACCGACCCCAAGCCTGAGCGGCTCGCTCGGCTCGGGGTTGTCGCTACCTCCTACCAGTGGCCCTTCCCAGGTGCTACCTGGTCCCATGGCATGTGTAGCGACACACGACTGCCCCTGGGTGCGACCCAGGTGCTCATGAACTGCCCTATGCAGGATCCCTTGCGGCTCAAACGACCCCTTTTCAATCGCTGAGACTCAATTCGTCTCTTGAGTCACTTGTGGACTCGCTCAAAGGCTCGCTGCCTCCGCCCCAGCACAGCTTGCACCGGAGCGTGTACTCTTCGGGCTCTGGAAGCTCCTTGTGGATCTCTGAACTCACAAAGAACCGTTTCTTGGCCATCCAGCAGCCCTTCTCCCCGAGCCTATGAAGGGTGCCCCTTCCAGCGCGTCTATACACCACCACATAGTTCCCTTCTCGCTCCTCATCCAGGGGCTCGTTCATTTTTCGCTTCTTCGGATCCTTCTGCAGCACTCTCTCCGCCTCCTTCTCACTTTGAGATCCATCATAGATCGTGGTGTCCTCATCTGACACTTGCACTGTTGCTGGCGGCCTCCCTTTCACTCCCAGCTTGTCTTTCCATGCCTCCACAACGCTGTTCGCCTGATCCTCTGGGACCGTCCACTTTTCCTGCAACCAGATTTTGAGTTCCTCCAAGATGGAACCCTCATCCAGCTCTTCATAGGCCGCTTCACCCCGCAACACTGCCACAATCTTCTTCTGCATCTTCCTGACGATCGTATTGTACGTCCGGACGTAAACATCGGACCCCTCTGGGCACCACCTGCCCAGAAGGTCCCTGTCCGACTTCTCCACCCCCAGCGCTGCGAGTCCGCTGGGCATTGTTGCCCGCTCACTATGCTCCGACCAGAACCTCTCCCATCCTGATGGAATCAACTGGCCATTGTACCCCTCAAGCATTGCAAAGGTCCTTGAGCTCCCCGCCACTGCCTCAGCATACGTGACATGCGATGCCCCGTACCTTGTGCCGTAGAAGCAACCTTCAGGGAACACAAATGTCCTGTCACGTGGCATCTGCAGCTTCACCAGGTCATACCCTACTGCGAGCCAGTCATCATGCAATACATAAGCATCCTTTGCAATGAAAATTGGGAGCTCTCTCACGCGCTTGCCTGCCCCCGTCGTCTTTGATTGATGCATCATCCCAATCAACTGGCCATCGTAGAACCTGAGCTCCGTGGTCTTCAAATGCGCTGCATCATCAAACCTCATAGAGCCCCATAACTTGATGAGCTTGAACCATGCGCAAACTCTGATCTCAAAAGGGACTGCCCCATCAATCACCAACGTTTCCATTGGCGCTACAAAGCATCCCAGCCAGCGTGGCGCTCGACGGACTGGGGGTGCTTTCTGCTCCAAATCGTCCGGCGTCCCTGCAGTTCGTTCGAACCAGGCCACAGCCGTGCTGACCGCCAGTGGTATGGACGGGCCCATACCTTCTTCCTCCCTCGCGTACATGTAGTCCACGAGGGTCACCGTGTTGGGCCGCTGTCCAGGCTTCCCCATTGAATCCGCCCAGACTCTAAACTTCTGCCAGGATGCCAGATATCTCCTGACTGTCGACATCCGGTATTTTCCCAGCAAGGCTTCCTTAGCCCGATCTGGGTTCATTGACTTCCGAATCTCCTCCAGGACCGTTGCCTTGTAGTTCACCAATTCACCAACCAACTTGTCCAACACTTTGTCATTCACTTCATCCTCCGCAGCAACACGCCCACTCCTCAAACGCACCGTCCTTCCCAACGTACCACGTTTCGGCACAACTGGGAGAACCACGAGGGCTTCACTAGGTTCGAGGGTCTTCTTCTTGTCCTTCTCCATCGCTGCCTTCGCGTCCAGCAGATTCTGGATCGTCCTAGTCGACGTTGTTCCAACCAATCTAGCATCCAGGTCAGCCATCTGAACTGCTTCGCGAACCTGACCAGTGATGAAATCAACATGCCATGGCTTTGGCTCCAACCCTAGTCGTTCAGCCAATTGCTTGGCCAGGACACCTTCGCTGCCATGGCTAACAGCTAATCGTGAACCTACCAATCCCACTTCCATGAGTAGGTTCAAGATCCTAGCGGAATCCTCGGGATCGGGGTGACAAGTCACCCCTTCCATCCCTATCCACCAGAAGGAAAGCTCACCTACCCTCGAACCTAACAAGCAGCGACGCAAAATACGGTCATGACATGTCATGAGTGTATTACAGTATATGGATGATTGTTGAATATCCTTATATACTATATTAACATATTTAGTTATTCATATCATGTTACCCTGCACCCTAGACTAATGACTCTATCTTCTTTGCCCAACCCTGGCCGTCGGCATCATCTTCACAATTGTCGCTGCTCTTGCCCTTCAAGAGAGATTCATATTTGTAACTGGTACCACCACCAGACTTTGATTCGCCACTTTTCTCGTGTTTCCATCCACTCCCATCAGGTTGTACTTGCTTTGACGACTTCTTGGCCTGCTGACACTTCAGCACACAAACAGAAAACAGCACCAAGATCAAAGTGCTGCCCAAAATGATGCCAGCAAACATGAGTTTCCTCTCCCACAGTGTGTCGTCGTCCATTCCTGCTGTGCTTTGCAAATCTGAATCTGGAGTAGTATTGTGCATGTCCTCAGTGGAATCCCATGACAGGTTTACAGCCTCTGAACTCCGGTCTGGAGTAGCTAGGGGTGCATGGGACGCTTTGTCATCCACTGTCTGATTGACAGGCCCCTTAGTCAATGCGAGGCAAGTCGTTGCCACTGAACTCCATGCCAATAACCATGACACACCATGGCGAAGCATCGAGGCTTGGGACTGAAGTCTAAGAAAGGCCAAATCATCAGGACTCTTTTGCCCATTGTCATTCATTTGGCTCAGTGTTTTATACTTTTGTTGGCCAATGTGAAGCCCAAATTGAACACTGCTTCAACTTATTTCAGTCAAGGGCTCAACGGTGCACCGAATACTACACAGCTTGGGCCAGGATTGTGCAAAGATCATATGCTCCACGCAAGTCAAGTCGCTCTATTGGATGGTGCCAACATGTGCCAACAATGCCAAACACCACTGCAAGTTTGCTGGCTTCCAGACTAGCTCTTGCGTTCTGGCAATTGCCAATTGGGCCATTTCATTTTCATGCATTGCTCCTCCTGCCTTCGGCAAAGGAGGATGCAACAGATTCTCTGCGTCACTCGGAGATCCAAATCCTCAGCCAACCCAGGGCTACAACCAAGAATAGTCACACTAGAACTCAGCTGCCTAGCTTCATTGTCAAACACGTTGAGCCTCTGCCTTGCTTGACCCTCGCGCCTAACCTAACATACCTGACCAACCAATAGTGAAGCAGAACATTGCACAAAATATCAAGAAATTAAACGAGATAAGGAAACAACTAAGGAAACACTATACAAAATTCCCCTTTGGTTAAACCTGGCACATCAACTTGCGGACAAACCATGAGGCCAACCCATTAATTGCAGCAAAGAACGTTTGTTGCAAGTTTGCACACAAGTTGAGCCGCGTTTCTTTTAAAAACGCTGGGCCTATACATTGGAATCATACCTGCACAGCTGCCTTCTCGACGCGCATTTCTGTGCAAAGGGTGCCTTTGCACCTAAAGGAGTATCAAGTGGTGTCTTCACAAAACACAACATTGGGGATCTTTGCCCATGTACAACGCCTTCGCGAAAAAAATCTGTGGCATCCACACGATTTGGCTTTGTACTATGATTATATACCCTAAAACAGCACGGGAGGTACCTGTTTTGGCAACACGCGGGTTTATTCGCGAGCGCGCCGCACAGGCCGCAACCAATTGAGGTAATATAATGTAACATATCCTATATATACTCCTATATATATACACATCTATATACATCTGAATGCGGCCTGGAACCATTCCCGAACAATAATCCACCTGAACGACGAAGGAAAACAATGGCTTTAGGATGTTTTAGGTTTGCCTGATTACACTGCGCAGCGAAGCTGCGAAGTAACCATGCCTTCGCACATGCACACACCTGTGAGAATTGCCTTCACATGCAACTTGAGAGAAGGGAGACACGAAAGGTAGGACAGCGGGAAGAGAAGAGAACGCGAGAGGCAGGAACAAAAATGCAATGTTCGACATGGTGATTTATCCCCTCGGAGGCGACCTTTCGTAAATATATGTTCATATGCACTCTAAATGTTCAAACATATGCTCTCGAAATGTTCAAAAAGATTCTTAGGAAAACAAACTTGCCCCATGGCTCAGATCATCGGTGAGCATTGAATCGGAGCATCATAGGATTTGAACTATCCTGAAACCATAAGAGGCTCACGAAGACGCTCCCCAGGAGAGAATTGACGTGCTTCACAAAACAAACTCTAGGTATGTATCCCCTCGGGGAACACCTTTCGTGATTAGAATTTCATATTCACTCTTTCTGAATGTTCAAGAGGGTTTCAACTATCCTGAAATCATGAGAGGCTCACGAAGACGTTCTCCAGGAGAGAG